CAAAGTGCCAACCCTTATACATAGATTGTGAACAAATTATTTGTCATCAAAATATAAATTGTGTCACACTGTACTTCTCAACACAAGTACACAACTCATATTATCACAAGTTATCATAGGCACTTTAATTTCGCATGCTCAATAATTAATAAATGTAATAAATAAAGTAAACATAATTTTATTCAATATAAGAATATTGTTACTTTTTCCATCAGCAAAACTATACTGTATGAGCACACAATCCAAATTTTTTTTTACTTGCCCTAAAGTATATGTGTCAGGTCTTTTAACCCCATGCCTTGCACATGTTCATTGAAAACTTTAGCCGATAGGCTCTTTGTAATTGGATTCGCGAGGTTATCCCCAATAGCAATTTTACTAACAATCACATCTCTTCTATTAACTATTTCTCTCAAGAGATGATATTTCCATTCAATATGTTTACCCATTTGATGACTCCTTAATTCTTTAGTATTTGCCACTACCCTATTGTTATCATAGTACAATGTCAAGGGCTATGCAGATGCAGGTACCACCTCGATGTCCGTTGGGAATTTTTTGAGTCACACCGCTTCTTTAGCGACTTCACAAGCTACAACATACTCAACCTCCATGGTGGAATCAACAATATATGATTGTTTAATACTTCTCCAAATAATGGACCCACCAACAAGAGTAAATAGTATCCTGATATAGACTTGCGAGAGTTCTTATCAACCTAGAACTCTGAATCTGTATAACCCACTGGAATAAGATCTGGTGATGAGTAAACAACATATAATTCCTTATCCTTCGAAGGCACTTTAGGATATGCTTTACATCCACCAAGTGTTCCGGTCTAGGATTAGATTGATATTGACTCACCATACCAACAACATAACAAATGCCAGGTTTAGTGCGCAGCATAGCATACATGAGACTACTAACTGCCGATACATAAAGTATCCTTACCTCTTCAGGAATCTTATGAGAGAGTTGGATTCTATATCGGAATGGTAAATTACCCCTTTTTAGGATTTTGATTGTCAAATCTGATAAGTATTTTATCAATATATGAAGATTGAGATAAAGCTATTTGCCTGTTCTTTCGAACATTTAAGATCTAAATAACTAGAACATAGTTAGTTTCTCCCAAATCCTTCATATAAAACTGTTGGGCCAATCATGCTTTCGTAGACGATAACATTCCCACATCATTTCCAATTAGTAGAATATCATCCACATAAAGTACCAGGAAAATTATAATTTTGTCCGATATCTTTTTATAGATACAGGGTTCGTCAAAGTTCTGATCAAATCATATGTCTTAATCATTTCGTCGAATCTTTTGTTCCAAGATCTTGATGCTTGCTTCAACGCATAAATGGATCATTGAAGCTTGTAGAATTTGCTTTCATGAACAGGTTCTCTGAATCCATCTGGTTATATCATATAGTTATATTTCTCAAGATGGCCATTCAAAAATGCCGTCTTGACATCCAATTGACACACCTCATAATCAAAATAAGATGCAATGGATAAGAGAATTCTGATAAATTTCAGCATAACCACAAGCAAAAAGGTCTCCTCGTAATTGATGCTTTCTTGTTAGGTAAAACCCTTAGCCACTAGCCTTGCTTTGAAAGTTTCTACTTTTCCATCTGCTCATCTCTTTCTCTTATAGACCCACTTGCACCCGATGGGTTATATCCATTCTGGTGATCTATAAGTTCCTAGATATGATTGGAATGTATAGATTCCATTTTAGTATTCATAGCTTGTTGCCATAATCTGCATCTACATCACTCGTAGCCTCCTTATATAAAGTCGGATCATGAACTTGTGTTGTAGAGATCGCCTGATTGGACTTTTCAACTAACTAATACCTAGAAGGTGGTCTGATAAGTCTCTAACTTTGTCTAAGGGGTGGTGGATCCTGGATTGTGGCATCTTTTGAAATTGTAATGTTAGTATCAATGTTGGTATCACCATTAGATGATTCCATTACCTCCTCAATACCTTCAATGTTTACCTTATCCATGGGATTGGATGACTTATCTCTCCCACTCAAAATACATTGTTTAGGTATTTTTAACACCAAAGGTTGTCTTTCACAAGATTGCATTTCAAGATTTGATGGGGTGGAATTGCTCCCACTCATTTCTTCCAACATGACCTTGCTTTTGGACTGACGTTCATTAATATACTTATCATCTAGGAAAGTTGAATTTGTGCTAAAAAAAACTTTCCTATCTAGAGGACTGTAAAAATAATATCTCTTAGTACCTTTAGGGTATCAAATAGTCATATCTCTGATCTAGATTCCAACTTTTCTACCTTCCCTTTCCCAAATTGAATGTAGCGTAAGTTGGACTTGGGCCCATTCCATAATTCCAGGGGAGTCTTGGTAACCAATTTAGAAGGATCTAAGTTAAGAACATATGGTACTATTTCTAGTACATATCCCCAAAATGAGGTAGGTAGAGTTGTGAAACTCATTATTGATCTAACCATGTCTAAGGACGTCCTATTTTCATTTTGTTAGGGTATAACCTGTACACAATTAAGAAACAATACCATTTTCTTCAAGTAGTCCCTAAATTCTCTCGATAGATATTCACTACCTCGATCTGATTGAAGTGTCTTAATACCCTTACCCAAATATTTCTCGACTTTAGTCTGATACTCTTTAAATTTTTCAAAAGCATTTGACTTTCTAGCCATTAGGTAGATGTATTCGAATCTAAAAGTAATCGTTTGTAAAAGTGATAAATATTCATAACCCCTCTCATAAGCATAATCATGTGTCCACATACATCAGAATGAACTAATTCTAATAGTTCTTTGGCTCTGTGTCCTTTTGTCAGAAAGGATCTCTTGGTCATTTTACTCTCCAAACAATAATCACAAACTGGTAGTTTTTTGACCTTAAATGTGTTAAGTGGACCATTTCTAGCAAATCTTTGTACCCTATTAAGGTTAATCTGTACAAGTCTAAGATGTTGATAAGTGCATTTTGTGCATTTATTTATGCCATATTATTAAGCCTTTATATCATCAAATTATTAATTTCTACCTAATTTGGGTTAATTTTCTTTTGTTTACTTATGGACCCGTTTTGAAGTAATTGGAAAAGAAAATGATCAATTGGCTATTAAAGAGAAGTTTGTAGACTAAATCTCGCGTGATAAAAGTTGGAGGATCAAAATTGAGGAAACAATGGAGAAAAGGACTAACTTGCATTAATTATGATGAAGTGGGCCTTGGAAGATAAATTGCAATTAATTTGGGCCTCAACTTGGACTTAGAATCCACTTTATTACTTGTTAACGAACCTACACTTCTGATGATCTTAATTTGAAAGATATTTTCATGAACAAATTTTTGGCGTCATTGTCGGGGATTGTATTTTAGCTTAATCTAATTTATCTTGGCACTAATTCGAACTTTTTACTTTATTTTATTTATTTTTCTTTATCAAGTTATTTTAGTGCTTCTATTTTCTTTTTCAAGCATTTTATGCGAAATTTGAGGGATAATAAACTGATACCTGCTAATCTAGAAATCAAAAGTACTTTTCACTGTAGGCAAAGAGAAACAGAGAAGCACAACAAGAAGAGATGGCCAACGCACAAAATAATCTGATTATTGAAGTCAACGAAGGAGCAGTGGTCGATGAAGGGAACATGTTGGTTGGGAACTTCATGACTCCACAAATTATTCAGAGCCAATCTAGCATCCTTTAACCTCCGTTTGGGCAGTCGAACTTTCAGTTGAAAACCAATGTTATCCAAAATTTTCAAAATGGACATCAATTCTGTGACAGAGCCGATGAAAATCCACATACACACATATCTTGATTTTTGGAGATGTGTCAACACTTTAAATATCAAGGGATTTCAGATGATGCAATCAAATTGAGATTATTTCCGCATACTTTATGGGATAGGGTGCTTGAATGATTAGATTCACAACCTATTGCCAGCATCACTATTGGGAATGACTTTGCTCAAAAATTTTGCACCAAATTCTTCCCACTAGTGAAGATTGCGAACTTAAAGCATGACATATCTATATTTCGGCAAGGAGAAATCGAATCCTTTGATGAGGCATGGAACAGATTAAAGAACATGTTTCGGAAGTATCCTCATCACGGCATCAGTAAAGGGCTTCAAGTCCAATATTTTTATGCAGTTCTACTTCCATCTCACAAAAGCACGATAGACTCATCATCCAATGACTCTTTATCCACGAAGACAATTGATGAAGCCTTGGAGTTGTTTGAGAGAGTGGCTACTACCACAACCATGTGGGCTTCTGAGCGGGTTATTCATAAAAAGGCAGTAGGAATATATGGGGTGGACACTTACGTAGCGTTATCTGCAAAAATTAATTCTCTGGTTCATAAGGTTGATAGCATACCACAGTCGGCCAATGCAGTACATGTCAAGCTCCTAAGTTGAAAAGAATGTGGGGGCAGATCGTATTACAACCAATTGTCCAATTCTTGCACAAAATGTTGAACATGTTGAATATGTACAAGGAGGCCAGCACCATCAAAATAACCCACATTCTGATACATACAACCCTGGTTGGAGAAAGTACCCAAATTTTTCTTGGAGCAATCAAAATCTCACATTATCGCACGGTTATCAGTATTAATAGCCTAAGAATAAAAGTCCGTTGGAAGAGATGTTTGGCAAATTTATGGAAAAGACAGAGCAATACATGGAAATAAACAACCAATTCATGAGAAGAATTGAGACAACCCTTTAAAATCAGAATGCTGCAACCAAGAACTTGGAAACCGAAATAGAGCAGATGGCACTTGCTATATCAAGCAGAGCACTAGGTACACTACCAAGCAATACCGAGACTAATCCCAAAGAGCAAATAATGGCCATAAGTGTTTTAAAAGATAAAAAAAAAGTGAGGATCCATATGTGAAATCAATTACAACAAGAAGTGGAGTACAATTGCCTGAGATAACCATCAAAAGACCAGTTACAATTATGAACAAAATGCATATAGTTGATGAGGAGCAAGTAGATGAGTCTGAACAATCAATTGAGAAAAATCTGAAAGACCATACAGGCAATCCACAAGCTAAGGTAACTGATCCTATCAAGGAGTATGTAGCTCCCATTCCATTCCCACAAAGGTTGACAAACAACTTGAGGAGTTTTTGGATGTGCTAAAGAAACTCCATATCAATATCCCGTTCATAGATGTGATAAGGTAGATTCCAAGCTACGCAAAAATTTTGAGGGACATGATATCAAAGAAAAGAAAGCTTCCAAAATTTGAAACTGTGGCATTGACAGGAGAGAGCAGTGTAAGACTACAAAAGAAACTACCTCCCAAACTCAAGGATCCAGGGAGTCTCACTTTACCTATCTCAATTGGAGAAGCTGGTTCTTTTAATGCTTTGTGTGATACAAGGGCAAGTATTAACTTAATGCCTTTATCTGTATATAGGAAATTGGGATTAGGGGAGGCAAAGGAAACAACGATGTTATTGGAGCTAGTCGATACAAGCATCAAACATCCAAGAGGCAAGGTTGAGGATGCACTCATCAAAGCTGGCAAGTTAATATTTCCGACAGACTTCATTGTTCTCGACATAGAAGAAGACAGGAATATTCCAATAATCTTGGGGCGACCATTCTTAGCAACTGGTCGAACCTTGATTGATATGAAGAAATGTGAGCTAATCTTGAGAGTGGATGAAGAATAAGAAGTTTTTAAATTACATAATACATCCAAACAACCATTAGACCTCGACGAGTGTAACTGTATTGACAAAAATGAACTATCCACTCAACAAAACTATCAGAAGAGAAAACCAAATTTTGGAGGGATTATTGGTAGAGACAATAACAGAGAATTCATAATTTGGAGAGCTAAAAGAGGGTGCAAGGCTAGAAATTGCAAGGAGTGCAAGGGCGAAATATTTCCATTTAAACCACCTTAAGGACATCGCCCAAAAAGTCAAGCTCTAGATTATAAATCAAGCGCTTAATGGGAGGCAACCAATCATTCTATCTCTTTTTGCTATTTTAATTAACTATTACATTACACGTAGTTTTAGAGATTGCATTAATTTAGGAACTCATGTAAATGGTCTGTTTTGAATACATTTTAAGTAGTACTTTAAGACTTGCATCAGTAACTTAGGCATATTTATTTATTGAGTTCATTTTACTTAGAAATGTTTAGTGAGGCTCATCGTTAACGTCCTAGCATTTTATTGAGTTTACATTGACGTGATATGTATTCTCAAGATTGCACCTAGATTTAATTCTCCAAAATTATTTTGAAAAACTTATCTCTTCCTAACTATAGGATTTTTGCAAAGATGATGCTTTGTCAGATAGTTTTTCTAATATTTAGAAGATTAGAATTCTTTTGGTGTGAATTCATTGCAAATATTTAAACATTTTATGCTATCGCTAATATTTATCTTATGTTCTTGGAACAGCAAAATAAAGCCTTGCAACAAGAAAAAAAATGGCGATTGTCATGACATCTACAAGTCGGACCAGCTTGATCATTCTACCTATCCACATCTACCTCAAGGAGTTTCTCATCCTTCCCCATTTACTTTGATTATTTTTGCTTCTACATTTGGGACAATATAATATTTTTGTTTGGAAGTGGGTAAGTATTATGATACTTGGTGTACATATTTATTTTTCAACTGCTAATGGTTCGTATAACTACACCAAAAAAATAGTGTCTAGTTAGTGATAACAACTTATCGTCGGTGGAGATGTTTGTTTGTTTAAATTGAGTACATATCTAGTTAGATGCTGGACAACACCTTAACTTGTGCTTTTTACTTGAAAACTTATCCATGTTAGCTGTAATTATTTGAGCACATAGCCATATTGACTTATCACTTATATTGGGACACAATTTAATTTTGTGGACTTATTGATGTTGACCTAGGTTTAAATAAAATCTCTAAATCCTTTATATAGAAACAAACTGCTAAAAATCAGTTTGGGATAGGAAGACTAGTGCTCGTTTTCATAGAAGTATGATAGTTTGGAGTTCTCGGATCCCAACTTTAGTTGAAAGGGTTTGAGTTAAAGAGTCTAAAATGGGTACTGATCATCTTAAAAAAAAAAAAAAATCAAATATCATGCATCTTTTACTTCTTGTTGTAGCATTTATGACTTGAGTAATTAAACTTGTAAGGGTCTTTGAAACTTGGTGCCCTAAAATCATCTGACTTGAGAGTTATCGACCTAAAGTTTGTTACAAAGGTCATTCAGAAAACTTAATGAAAATAAGTTTTGCACATCAGATGTTAAAAAAAAAGTGATACATCTTCTACATCTCTTCGTAACCTTTTTGATTCGAGTTATTAAGTCTGTAAGGGTATCAAAAAATCTAGTGCCCTATAGTTGTTTGATTTGGGAGTTATCGACCTAAAATTCACTACAAGGATCATTTAGAAAGCTTAATAGAGAGAAGTCTTGCACAGGAGATATAAAAAATAATAATAATAAAATCTAAACAATCAAAAGTGAGATGTGCCGATAAAGACTTTGAGATTTGAACTCTAGAAATTGGCGGTGTGATTCTAAGAAAGACTTACTATGTTCCTTGGAGCTATAAAATAATGATAATAATAAAATCTAAACAATCAAAAGCAAGATGTGCCAATAAAGACTTTGAGATTTGAACTCTAGAGATTGACGGTGTGATTTTGAAAAAGACTTACTATGTTCCTTTCTAAGTTTACAAGTATTTACCTCTGAACACTTGTGTGGAAAAATGCATTAATAATGATTTTTAGGAACCCTTTATGTACTTGAAACACCTCGGGATTGAGGAGAAAAGCATAAAGAGTGATTTTTGCTTAAGAGGTGTGAGGAAAAATTGACCACAAGAGGATTGGGACTATGAATAAATCAACAACACTTGATTGGTTGTATTCTGATATGGGTGTTAGTTCAATATTGGCTAATCTCTGACACACACTAAATCGAGCATCGGAAGCAAAAAAAATTATTTTTGACGTTGTTTGGATCTTTCTAAAGTATTGCTTAAATTCGAACTTGAGGCTATGGTAAGTAGTTCAACATTGAGTCTTTTATTTGTGCTTTGTTAGGTTAGCAATAAGCATCATACCTATGTTCTATTTTGTTTTGATCGAGGACTAACAAAGGTTTTAGTTTGGGGGTGTTTGATAATTGCGTTTTGTGCATTTATTTATGTCATATTTTTAAACCTTTATATCGTCAAATTATTAATTTCTACCTAATTTGGGTTAATTTTCTTTTGTTTTACTTATGGACCTGTTTTGAAGCAATTGGAAAAGAAAATGATCAATTAGCTATTAAAGAGAAGTTTGTGGACTAAATCTGGCGTGATTAAAGTTGGAGGATCAAAATTGAGGAAACAATGGAGAAAAGGACTAACTTGCATTAATTATGATGAAGTGGGGCCTTGGAAGATAAATTGCAACAAATTTGGGCCTCAACTTGGATTTGGAATCCACTTTATTACTTGTTAACGAACTGTACACTTGTGGTGATTTTAATTCGAAAGATATTTTCGTGAACAGATATCATAAATATGTATCACTAGTATGGTAAGACATTTGTTCATGGTTTGCAGAAGTAACATATATTTCATTTGTGGCGCAATTTAAAATATAAAGACCATTCATCAAATATCCAACACAAATAGGAGCTTTATTCTTTAAAATATAAAATGCAACATGCGCAAAATTTGCAAAATAATCTTGTCCTATTAAACAAGAAACATAAATGAAATTTTTCTTAATCTGCGGGACATAATAATAGTATTTTAGAATTAAATGCCTACCACTATTGAAATAAAATAAGCTACTCCTACTGCTCTTGCTGAAACTATAGCTTCCGTACCAATAGTAATTTTAAATTGGCCCTTACTGAGTCTTTTGCTCTCCTAAATCACCTGCATAGGCATACATATATGATTAGTAGCTCTAGAGCCTACAACCCAGGAATTTGTAGAATCAACCATCAAACATGATTTAGCAATAAAAAACTCACCAACACCTAGCTTTTTAACTAGTGCATTAAGACAATATTTCTTCCAGTATCATTTGCGATCACAGTGGAAACACTTGCCTTTTGGTATCCCATCTGATTTGGGCTTTTTGTTGCTTCCCAGCTTCTTGTTAGATCTCTTCCTCTTTTTTCCAATTTCACCTTTTAGCTTGGAGTTAGAGGAGTTATCAATTACCATATGAGCATGGCCACCCTTACCCTTAAGACCACTTTCCACATGTTGTAACTCATTCATCAACTCAATCAATGACATATTCATCTTGTGCAAGTGATAGTCCACAGTAAACTGCGAAAAAATATCAGATAAAGAGTACAATACCATATCAACTTGAGTTTCCAGATCAATAGTTGCACCGAGGTTCTCAACCACAGTGAAGTGTGCAATCATTGTCAACATGATTCTTCACGGGCGTTCCGGGTTTCATGCGGATGTACTATGAGGTATGAATGGCCTCAAAATGAGCCCTCTTACTTTGATGTCCAAACATGCCCTTTAGGCTTTCTAGTATGTCATAAGAGGTTTCCTAACTTTTAAGTTTTTGCTGTAATACGTTTGACATGGATGCCAAAATGTAACAGTGAGCCATCTTGTCAGTTGCGATCCACTTATCATACACAGCCCTCTTGGACTTGCCTATAGTCTCAATAGGTTCCTCGAGACATTCCCGTTCAAGTACAAAATCAAGTTTTTTGGCAACAAACACAAACATCAAATTATGTTTTCAATCCACATAATTATCCTTGACAAGTTGGTTTTGTTTTAGAGTAACGAAAAATGTGTTGGGAGACATTTTGCTAAAAAATAACTATTTATTGCATATTAAAATTAAGTAGCAAATAAGAATTTAGAATATGAAGCATAAATGCATATGTAGATCCATCTCACTACAATAATACAACAATGACTTGATCCTTGTGATCTAACATGTCTCTCTATAGGAAAGGTCAATATGTCCAGTCATCAAACTGAGACTCTCTTACTAAACAAAATATATGTGACAACAAATGTTTGTATTTTGCAATATACTGTTTAAAGTGTTAAAATACATTTTGAGATTTTCATGTGATTTTTCATGAGATTTTCATGTGATATATTAATGGAGTAATTTAAGTTCAGTTACCCGATGGAAACTTTACGTAAAGTTTAGTGATGATTTAGGTAATTAACCCGTGATTCTAGCAAGTTTTATTTTTGGTCGAGTTGTAAATTTTTTTAACAATCGTAACTTGCCACGTGAGATTTTCATGTGATATATTAGAAACGAAGGAAACTTAATCTGATGGATGACGAATGTAGTACAACGTCTCAAAGATGAGTGGCCATTGAAAAGCATTTTGAAATTTTATGAATAAATCATGATCAAGTATAAGTTGGATGAGTAATGAAATATTGATTGACTGAATTATAATTTATTTAATGGCTGTAATTTGCTCGTGAGATTTTCGGGAATCATGCCAGCGAATAAGTTAACGAATTTTTTAGAGTGATGGATGGAGTACAAATTAAAAAGTTCAGTGATCATTGTGAAACATTTTCAAATTTTGTGAGTAAATCGTTATCATAGTATAAGTTGGATGATATTGAAATATTTAATTCAAAATGTATTTTAACACTTAAAATAGTATATTGTAAAATACCCACCACATAAACCAGCACTCAAAACTGATA